TGTATGTTATTTTGAAGTAAAAGTACTATAACAAAATCAAACACAAAATCAAACAAACAAAATCAAACAAATGACTAGATAAATAAATTATAAATATTTCAATAATAATTTGTATGTCAAATATATTAAATTACAACCCGAACTTCATAAGAAAAGTAGTAAATAGGTTTAAAAAATATTTTGAAGGGAATGTACAAATATAACACATAATTCTTATGTATTTACATATCTCACACCTAATAACACCAATAACACTGCGTAATAACATTGATAACACCAATAATACGAGAATAATACCGCAGAGTGTTATTCCGCGGTATTGTTCTATAATACCAGAATAACACCCTAATAACACCAATAGTGATAGCACAGCAATAACACCCTAGTAGAACAACACCAGATAGCACAGCAATAACACCCTAGTATCACCTGCAATAACACCTGAGTAACACCTGTGCTATTTGGGTGTTACTCTGGTGTTATTGCGGGTGTTTCTCGAGTGTTATCGTTAGGTTATTGGTGTTATTTAGCCATCCGCGGTATTATCGGCGCAATTCCACGACATTTTATATTCTACCGAACTTATTTCGAGCCGAACACGAATTCAAACACAAGTCAAATTGGAACGAGCCGAACACGAGTAGAGGCTCAACTCGCTCAAGCTCGGCTCGTTTGCAGCCCTAATTGAAACTAACCAGTGATGTTCTGTGTGCTTGAAATTTGATGACGAGGTTAGGGCACTGTCAAATCTATATTTATTATCGTACAATTAGGATGAATTGGTCATGACGATGTCACTTAAGATAATATAAAATTAAACTTTGATGACTTCGTAAGGTTAGTGTTGAATGATGTTCACAAAAAGACGAGCGGTGAATCTTCTAGTTCTGGGTTAAATGTTGAGAACAGGAAAGAATTTGGACAGGAATATAGGTAAAGACTAATTCAAGTCTAGAAGAGGAAAGTTCAGGTCAGGAAAATGAAATAACAGATGTAAATGCTGGAATTATGGGAAGAAAAGTCATTTCGAGATGGACTGCAAAGCTCCTTGGAAAGTTGTTGGTGGAGGCCAATACAATAATCTCTCTACAAATATCTCCACGAGCAAAATTCAAGTTGACTCTTTAGTTTTATCCTTAGTACCGAACCTTGGATAGTAACTCAGGCGTTTCTTTTCATGCATGCCCCAACAAAGATGTGTTTAAAAATTACACTCAGAGTGATGGACTTCAAAGCTCCTTGGAAGGTTGTTGGTGGAGGCCAATACAAAAATCTCTCTACAAATATCTCCACGAGCAAAATTCAAGTTGACTTTAGTTTTATCCTTAGTACCGAACCTTGGATGGTAAACTCAGGCGTTTCTTTTCATGCATGCCCCAACAAAGATGTGTTTAAAAATTACACTCAGAGTGATCTAAGGAATGTATATTTGAGGGATAACAAGACATGCAATATTATAAGAAAGGGTGATGTTGATATCAAATTACCAAATAGATCAATATGGAAGCTCAGTGAAGTTAGACATATTCCAAGCTTGAAGAAAATTCTGATCTCGGTGAGCATGCTGACAAAGTCAGAGTACGTGATTACTTTCATAGGTGATTTATGAAAGGTGACTAGAAGATATGGTGATGACTCGAGGCAACATTGAAAATACTCTTTACCTTCAATGAGATGACATAATCCATCAATGTGGATAAAACCAAGGTTGATGCAGGACTTTGGGTTTAAACCATATGAGTGTAAAAGATATAAATTATCTACTTTCTAAGAATAAGCTTAAGGGTTTGAAGAGAAAAAAGTATTTTTCTCAAAAAGCGGATCAATGGTGAAGTCCTAGAATCTAGAACCACTGCATCTTGATGTATGGGGTCATTCTTCAGTTTATTCCATTGGAGGTTGTCACTACTGTGTCGCTTTTAGATTTGATCACACCAGAAAGATACTTGTTTACTTCTTATAGCCCAAATCTGATGTATTTGAAGTGTTTGAGAAGTGGAAGATCATGGTAAAGAATGAAACATATGAGGTTGAAGTATCTCGGATTTGACAATGATAAGTATCATGATTAAAGGTTCACAAGTTATTGTGCTTCAGAGGATCATGAATGAGTTCATGAATGAGTTCACTGTTCCAAGAATATCGCAGCAAAATGTTGTGGTTGAGCGCATGAATATAATTATTACAGAGCATGCCATGAGAATGAGATTGTATGCAGGCTTGTCAAAGTAATTTTGGGTGGAAGCAGTGAACACTACTATTTATCTGATCAATCATGGTCTTTCAGTACCCTTAAAGGAAATATTACTTGAAGAAGCCTGGAGTGACAAATAGGTAAATCTATCACGTGAATATATTTAGTTATTTTGCATATGTTCATGCTGATGCATGATTCAAGAGTAAACTTGATTTAAAATCTATCTAGTGCACTTTCGTTGGGTATGACTAATGAATTTGGGCAAAAAATTTGGGATTATCAAAATAAAAAATTTATCAGGAGCATGTTTGTTACTTTCAATAAAATGGATATGTACAAGGATAGGAGCAGAACTCTGTATTACCCGCCAGTTACTTCTGAAGAGTCCAAATATGTTGAGATAGAAGACATTGGTAGAAGCATGAATATAATTATCACAAAGCATGCCATGAGAATGAGATTGTATGTAGGCTTTTCAAAACAATTCTGGGTAGAAGCAGTGAGCACTACTATTTATCTGATCAATCATGATCTTTCAGTACTTTTAAAGGAAAAATTATCTAAAAAAACTTGGAGTGACAAATAGGTAAATCTATCATTTATTTAGCATATGTTCATGCTGATGCATGATTCAAGAGTAAACTTGATTTAAAATCTATCTAGTGCACTTTCGTTGGGTATGACTAATGAATTTGGGCAAAAAATTTGGGATTATCAAAATAAAAAAATTATCAAGAGCATGGTTGTTACTTTCGATGAAATGGAGATGTACAAGGATAGGAGCAGAACTCTGGATTGCCCGCCTGTTACTTCTGAAGAGTCCAAATATGTTGAGATAGAAGACATTGGTAGAAGCATGAATATAATTATCACAAAGCATGCCATGAGAATGAGATTGTATGTAGGCTTGTCAAAACAATTCTGGGTAGAAGCAGTGAGCACTACTATTTATCTGATCAATCATGATCTTTCAGTACTTTTAAAGGAAAATTTATCTAAAAAAATGAGTAAATCTGTAACTTGAATATATTTAGTTATTTTGCATATGTTCATGCTGATGCATGATTAAACTTGATTTAAAATATGTCTAGTGCACTTTCATTGGGTATGACTGATGAATTTGAGCAAAAAGTTTGGGATTATCAAAGTAAAAAAATTATCAGGAGCATGGATGTTACTTTCAATGAAATGGAGATGTACAAGGATAGGAGCAGAACTCTGGATTACCCGTCAGTTACTTCTGAAGAGTCCAAATATCTTGAGATTGAAGACACTGGTGATTAGGAGGATAGAGAAAGGAGAAGTGCTCAATCATATAAAACACAAAAGTTCCTCTGTAAACTGTTACTGAAGTCAGGAGGTTCAACAGAATTGCGAGACCTAAAGAGAGGTATTCTCATTTTTTCTACTATTTGTTGCTAACAAATAATTATGAACTATAGTGTTATGAAGAGACCACTCAAGTTGATATTTCAAGGGAGTACGAGGCTGTCGTGAATGACAAGATGCAGTCACTGAGGTCAAATCAGACTTAATCGATTGAATTACTAGATAACACAAAGCAAAAGAGCACTGCACAATACGTGAGTCTACAGGTTGAAAGATGAGTCAGATGGTAGCAGACGCTACAAGACAATTTATTATGAAAAGGGTTTCAACAGAAGAAGCAGACAATGCTGAGATTTTATCTTTTGTAATGAAGATGATAACTGTCAATGTTGTGTTGAGCTTAATAACAGATGAAGATCTACATCTGAAGCAAATGAATGTAAAAACAACTTTCTTACGTTGAGATCTGAAAGAGGAATTATATATGATGCACTCACATGGTTTTGAGGGTCCAGGTAAAAAAAATTTGTTTGCAGGTTGAAGGAGTGCATCTATGGCTTTATGCAAGCCTCGAGATATTGATATATGAGGTTTGACACGATCATGTCCCATGGTGAGTACATGAAGCGCTAGGCAGACCAGTGTTGCTTCATAAAAATATTTTTGTAATTGTTATATCTTGTTTTTTTATGTGGATGACATGCTGATTGCAGGGGCCGATACAGAGAAAATCACGGACTTAAAGAACTGGGCGCACCTGCGCCCCAAATTAGCACCAAGTTGGGCCCCAAGTGCACAGGCGCAATGCCATGATTTTGCTCTTTTCAGATATGGAAACATAACCATTGGAATTCTTGCACCATAGGAGGACGCCTAGGCACCACTATTCCTTCATCAAACCTGAGCGAGCGGAAAGTCGGTGCTCGTGAGTGGCGCTACGGTGCCAGGAGCGATTTGTATACAGTTAGGGAACTAAGCCCTTGTTTTACTAAGGATCAATGATACTCTCGCAGTATTCTTGACAGTGTGTAACAGAGGCGGAACAACGTCTGTGTCGAGACGGTGGATTTTGACAAGTAATTTCTCTTCTGAGATCAAGAGAGAAAGGAGCGTGAATTGATGTAAGCGCCAATGGTATAGACAGTGAATCTGAATGGTCTAATTTTGTACTATTCTCCTTTTCATAGTGGAACATTTGGTGCGGTTTGACTTTGTTGTTTTTCCCGTTCTCGTTGTTTTTCACATTAAATCTTTGTGTGGTTTTTCCAGATTTCTTTGTTGCACGCTTTTGTTAAATTTATTGTTTTGGATCTCTCAAATTAATTTGTTTTCTGTAGTATAATTTTAGTTGTGAATCAGTCAAATCCCAACTTTCCATCCCAACAATATCATGGCATTTCAGCCCCCAAATTGCCTGCATGATTTCTGAAATATTCTGTTCCATTTCTGAAATACTGCCCCGTGCATTTGGCAGGCAGTCGCTGCTGGAAGTCTAATAAACCTGGCCACAATCCTATACTTCAATTCAGTTCGGGTAAGAAAATATTCGAGCACATTTATGCTATTCATGCTTGTCTTTTAATATCATTTTCATCTCATTTGTTTCCCGTCCAGTTTCCTGCCATGGCCGCTTATGTTCTCTCTGCACTTTTTGGTGCCCAAGTCCTTCTCGGCATATGAAGAAATTAAACGAGCAAGAAAGATTGATAACGGGAACTGCTTAATCCTTTTGGTAAACGATTTTTCCTTCTACTTTTTTCATATATATCTTCCAATTTTTACATTTATTTCTTCTTATGTTTATGATTCCTGTATATATTTCCTTCGAAACCTTATTTGCTACAAGGACTTTCTTTGGATTTGCTTCTGTACAAGCGTTACAGGAGCACCATAATATTATTAATCCGTCTGTCTTATAATGAAATTTTAGTAAGAATGCGGCTCGGTATTAATACCGTCTTTGTCTTATAATGAAATTTTAGTAAGAATGCGGCTCGAGACCTCTCCGTCCTTGATGATGTAGTTTTTTGAGTAATTTACATGCATACCAAATATTTTTTATGTATTTACGTATCTAGTACTTAATGATATTTACACTTGTAACATCTGGTGTTACAAATCTATGCATGAAATACACCAAATCTATGCATGAAATGTATTTTTGATGTGATGTTAAAGATTTGAGTGATAAGCATGTAAATAGCATGTAAATATGAATGTTTTGTGTTTTGCTGTTTTGTATGTAAATATGTAAGAATTGTGTGGTGTGTTTGTAAATGCACCTAATGTTTTTCATGATCCAATGAGCCACTAATCCTTTTCACAACAATAAGCGTCGTCAAAACTTAAATCTCAACTCACTAGTAGAATGTCATCATTTCACAGAAAATGGATACATAATTTGCTAAATTAAGCTTCATTAAGCGCATTATAGGAAGAAATTATTAGGCACAATTAATAATATATCGCGAGAGCTAGATGCGGAGTATCGGAGTAGCCGATCAGTATACACATGTGTATTGTGTAATCTGCATGTAGAGCTGCATATTACTGTAAGAAAATCTCATTAATCAACTAAAAATACACGTATATTGCTGACACTGTTGGGGAGGGGACCCCGAACTCGCCCTCTCTTTAGGACTTGGGTTGCCGCCCACTCCTAATGGCAATAAGAGTATTTTCATATGTTTGTTTTTATTAGATTTTGGTTGTTTTGTTGATTATAAATATGTAATCGTTTATTGTTTTAAGTGTGTTTTGTTCATTTGAGTTTTGTGAGAGTCTGTGCTCTCTTTGTGGTTGCCATATGTGGATAATTTTGTATCCACGATGTTGGGTGGTGGCAACTATTTCTCATCGATGTTGGTGGCGACATCCTGAGTCTCCTTCCTTCGTCAATCCTTCGAGTAATGGTTTCTGTATCCCAATCGGTTGCGAGAGTATGAAATTCATGTTTCTTGTAATTTTTATTTGATTAGTGCATCTCTTTATTGTTTTGTTTGTTTTCATGTAAACTTTTTAAGTTTTAAGGGTTAGATATATAAATACATAAGAATTTTGTGGGATGGATGTAGATCTTCAAACAAAAAAAAAAAAAGGAAGATTTATGAAAAAGCCATACCATTTTTCATGTATTTGCATATTCAAGACATAAACTTTGATATTTACAGTAATGCCACTATATCCTTGCCTAAAAATATGTATCACCCTTTAAAAAATGAGTGTGATAGTGATATTTTTTATATGATACGAAAGATTTGAGTGTTAGAAATGTAAAAAATAAAGTTTAGGTTTTGGATATGTAAATTCATAAGAGTCGTGGAGTATGCATGCAAATGCACCAAATGTTTAGGACAACCAAAAGTTATTGTATTTCTTTTATTTGTGCTATAATATTTCTTTTTTATCTTTCTTAAGAATCCTATAAAAATTAAAAAACATGCTTTTCATAACAAATAATAAATTTTTATTTCATTAAAGAGAAAATCAAGCTTCGTTGCATGTAGGGGTGTAAATGAACCGTACCCGAACAAACAGAGCTTGTGTTTGTGTTCGTGTTCGGTTCGTTTTGAAATTTAGTTTGTTTGAAATAAACTTGTGTTCGAAATTTTTCGTGAAGTCAATGTTCGTATTCGTTTCTTAACGAACAAGCCGAACGCGAGCAGGACACGAGTTGTTCCTTGTTCGTGAACGACGAGCCAGTTTGACATCTCTAATATTAGTATGTATAAATAATATATTATATTAGTTATATAATTTATATTATATAAATATATAATATCTATATTAGTACATCACTAATATAGTATATTAATATATTAAATAAATATATAATATCTACATTAGTACATCACTAATATAGTATATTAATATATTATTATTATTATTATTAATTTATTATATATTATAATTTATAAAATTTAATTTTTTAAAACCATCACAATTTTCTTAATATAATTATTTTAAATTATTTTATATTTCGAACAATTTTTTTTAGTATAATTATTTTAAATTATTTTATATTTCGAACAATAACGATTCGAACACGAATGAACGAATAATTGTTCGTTTTGGTTAGTTTAACTAACCGAACGAAAAAAAAATTTTCACGTTCGTCTCGTTTACTTATCGAACGAATCATACTCGAACTCATTGATGAACTAAACACGAATTATTCACGAACAACGAGCTTTTTTGGCAGCCTTAGTTGCATATCGTTGGATTTTTACATTAGTGTTCCATATATAATTTATAGTGTTAATTTTCAAGTAAATCTTAGCATTATTTTTATTATTGGGATAATTACATGCAGATCACTCGAAATACCGACATTCATAAATTAAATACATGTGTGATATTTTTGAACTACTGAATTAATGAATTTACGTGCCTATAACTTTTCTTTAAATTTATTTCGAGGTGATATAATATATTAATTCAAATAGATTATACACATTTTAAAAAAATAATTAAAAAAATATTCATTCAGAGAAAATATTAAATTTGATTAATGATTCCATAACCTATATCAATTCATAATCAGCAATACTCTTTTTTATGGTCCTCTACAACTGGAAAAAATATTACATCAGCACTACACACGTAGAGTAACGTGAGTAGCCAATGAAATCACGCCACGACACCCCGCTCGATCGACAGAGAAAAAAAAATGGCGCAATAACACGGGCCGTGTTATTCATTGTGTGTTATTCATGTGTTATTATGTTATGAGAATATTTCTGGTGTTATAATAACACAACAACACAAGAATAACACATGAATAACACACAATAACATATGAATAACACGGGGGAGAATATTTCCCCGTGTTACTGCGCCGTTTTTTTCTCTATCAAGAATATTCCCAGTGTTATTCAGATGTTATTGTGTGTTATTCATGTGTTAGTGTGTTCTGAGAATATTCTTGATGTTATAATAACACAATAACACATTAATAACACATGAATAACACACAATAACACATGAATAATACAGGGGAAATATTCCCCGTGTTACTGCGCCATTTTTTTTTTCTCTATCGCGCGGGATATGACGCGGGGTGTCATGACGTGATTTCATTGACTACACACGTTAATTCTACGTGCGTAGTACTGATCTAATATTTTTTCCTACGACTTTGCCCAATTAATTAAATACTTTCAAGTTTTAGAGGATTTGTGTACATACCCTTCAATTTCTATGTATTTATGTATTTGGCATCCAAATTTTACATATATGCCACATTATGCATGAAAAAATTTATTCAACCTTTGAAAGGTTAAAAATAACTGATATGAAAGATTTGGTTGACATGAATATAACAAAATAAAATTTAGATGGTATGTATGTAAATAAATAGAAATCGGGTGGTATGTATGTAAATGCCACTATTTTTTTCATGATTTTTATATTACATACTATACAACTTGTAAATTTTAATTTTTACATTATATGTTAACATATTTATTCATGAAAAATAATTTTATTTTATTTCTAAAGGTTATGTAATAGTGATATTTATGATATGATATAAAAGATTTGAGTGGTATAAATGTAACAAAGTAAATTTTAGATGTTAGATACATAAATACAAAGTAATTGATTGGTAAATGCAACCCTCACCAAAAAAATAAAAAAATAAAAACCTACCAGGGGTAGATCATAATTTATGAATCTCTCCTATCTGAGGACGCCGAGCTGCGTCCGGGCTGTATCACGGCCGTCGCTCGGACGTAGCATGGCGTCCGGGCGACGGATGCAGCTTGACGTCTGGGCGACGAACACAATAATTTTTCCCTATATGAAGGCAACGCAATGGAGCTAACGTATTTTTTCAAAAACTGAATTAGATGGTATAATTCATAATTTTTTTTATTCTAAATAAGTGTCTATTGCCCTTATATTAACATTATCAAATAATAATACTAAACAAAACATAAATTATCATTTATAAAATAGAAGAATGTTTTTAATGCGTGCTAGAAAATTCGTGGCGGTAGAGTAATGGATTATCGTCTTAGAGTTGCACGAGAATTCATCCTACACTCAGATAAAAATGAATCGAGCTGTGATCACACCAGAAGCTTTTACGTGGAAAACTCGTAAAAGGAAAAAATCATGGGGCCTGACACAGTTGTAAAAATTCACTATAATTTGATGATTACAGATGCCCATTGTCCTACAGGCGGGAAACGGTTGCTAGCTTTCCACGTTACAATGTCGACTGATGACGTCTAGTAAGCGGTGGTTGACGGAGGTCAGCGGTGGCTAACAACAGTCGATGACGGTCGGCGGTAGTTGACAGAGGTCAACGGTGATTGGTGGCATTCAACGGTAGTCGGCGGTGGTCGACAGAGGTAATTGACAGAGGTCAGCGGTGATTGGCGGCGTTCAACGGTGGCCGGAGGTGGTCGACAGAGGTCGGCGGTCGTTGTTGACGGTTGTTGACGGTTAGTGGTGGTTGACGACGATCGATGATGGCGAGGATGATCTCGGACTTGAGCTCCTTCTCAAAACCTCAAGTTCTCTCTTAAGCCTCCTCCCCTTTCATGTGAGAGGTGAGACTCTATTTATAGTATTTTGAGTGCAATTAATGCAAGAATATGAACCATTTTGATCGGACGATCTAAAGAGATTTTTTTGATCAGATGATGTTTGATGGACATTTGAGTGCCTTAACG